GCATTGTTCTCTACAATGTATGGCACAAAAAGAAAAGGATGACCAAGGAAAAGATGGCTACAAGATCTTGAGAGCGACCTTAGAACACTGGATGTGAGAACCTGAAGGAAAGGGCGAGCACAGCAACCACCTCCGTTGCCCGGCAACCTGATATATAACAAATGATATAAAAATAGCCATGAGTTCGCGTCCCGGTGCCAAGGCGTCTTTTAAATCTCCGCCCACACCCCCTGGCCCGGGAAAACCCCGTATAGCCTTAACGGCGAGGAAGGGGAGGAGGCAAAAAAAAAAAAAAAAGAAGTCTAGTTATTTTGTTTATATACATTTACTTTATTATTAGTTTCTGTATTATTTATTGTAAATAGAGTGTGAATGTGCTCTCTGAACACTAATATAAATGTCCTTAATTATGACAGATTGTAATATTTCTTAATAAATAAAAAAAAGAATCTATTATTATTCCGTATAAACGGAATGCTCTTATACCAGCTGTATCAGAGATACTTGAAGTGAATTTTCACCAGCTTTTCCGTCCCAAAATCAAACATTTTTTTTTTTTTACATGAATGAGAAGAATCTCCCTATCAGTGACTTGACAATTTAAAAATTCAATTTAAAACGTTTTTTCTCCTGTTTTTTTTTTTTTTTTTTTTTTTTTTTTTTTTTTTTTTTTTTTTTGTCAAAGATCAACATGAAAATACATTAATCAAAGTTGTGTTTGAGAAACAGGTCCAATGATATCAGTTTTTGTCTACATTAGCGACTCCATTAAGGGATAACCAACAGCTCATTAGGTGATGAACAAGTGTTAAAGGATGGATAAGGCCTTCTCACCTCACCGCTCCTAATTAGATTTAAAACCGGATCCACCCAATATATAAAAACATTTTACAGCTTCCCAAGTTATTATTTAATTTTAAGAACAGGGAGGGCAATTCATATATTATTATTTGTCATGATTTATAACCATCTTAGTAAGCAAATTAGTACTTATGAAGAAAGGGTTTGTTATGTTCAAAACCTAATTTAACTTTTATATTTATTGCATTTTTAATTTTTTTTTTTATCCCATTAACCCAAAGCTTGTGGTGATAACATATGAGATGTTCAGCTGCTTATTTTACATTAATTGCTGAATTTATTCCTATTTTTTTGTATTTAATTATTTTATAATTTATTTTCGATTTTTATTTACCAAAATGATAGAGTGGGAAAAAACAAAACAAATACACAGACAATTTTGCGAACAGTTAACTCAATTTCTATGAGCTGTAGCGGTGCGTAAAGCTTTATAAATCGGCTAATTAGAACATTTGGACATGCACAATTCACTTCTGTTGCTAATGTATTGTTTTAACAAGAAATAAATTCTAAATGAAAAGCATTTGAAATATACCGTTGAGAAGATACGACGTATCCACCATTACATCACGATAACCAAAATAATTACAACTTAAATTGAATATTTATTGTTGACCGTTGCATTATAAAGGAAGGAGATAGTCCGGAGTGGCGGTCATAAATAGATTAAATAGTGGCAAAACTATTTTATTAAAAGCCAACGTTTCGACCCGACTTTGCAGGTCTTCTTAAGGGCTTGAACGGGCAAGATACAAAAAGATATAGAGAATCGTGAAAGTTACCTAATATTCAGACAAAATATTATAAACAATGTGAATAAGCTTATTAAAATTATAAACACTAAGTACATTAAAATATAAACAGAGTAAGCTAAGTAACAAGATCCTAAACTGAATTAAATAGATGGTAACAATTGTTGTAGTGTAATATATAATATATTCAAATGTGAATATACTTCTATAGATCTACAGGAGATATTTAAAAGAAAAGGAAAAAGGATATAATATGAAATAAGAGACATTTGGAATTTGGAGAAAGAAAAGAAAAAGAAAACCATAAAGAAATAAATAAATAAGTATATAAAATGAGAAGAATAAAAATAGAAATAGAGACTTACAGGTGTGTTCAGATAGGAGTTTCACTTAGAACTGGAAAATCAGGATAAGAATAAGTATTGGGGATTTTGCTGACCTGTTTGGGTAATGGGAAAAGAAAAAGAAAAAAAAAACCTGGAAAATTACAATATATAAAATTTGAAGATATGGATGGATACAAGGGAAAAATACTATATCTAAGAAATAATAAATTATAAATATATACATATAAAATTGAATTAAAAAATTATAGATAAGAGTAAAATGTGAATAAAAACAAAAATGGAAGAAGTAAAACGTACATAGAACTAACATATAAATATAGCAATAAGAGACCATGCAATAAGAAGTACAGAGAGGAAAAAAAACACATCGTTGTATCTTGTACGTTCTAGCCCTGAAGAAGACCTGCAAATTCGGGTCGAAACAATGGCTTTTAATAAAATAGTTTTGCCACTATTCAGCCTATTTATGACCGCCACCCCGGACCATCTCCTTCCTTTAATTACAACTCAACTAATAACTTTTACAGTAAGATGTTCTAAATGTATGATGTCAATAAAATATAAATTGTATCCGCGACTAAGTATTTAGACTGATATAGAATCATTAATTGAATAACAAATATTCATATTTCATTGATATTAATCATATTATGATTTCTGTTATAATTTTAAAATCCATACTACAAAGCTATGAGTCTCCAACATACCGTTGAATAGTAAGTATGACTTGCCAACGTTTCGAAAATTCAGGGATCATCGGGGCAGAAAAACCAAGATCCCATATATGCAGAAAGAAAAAAGAAAATTATAATGCTGTAGAAATTTCACTAAGCCATCCAATCACATACTAAAGGATTGAGAAGGTTCCATTAACACAGCTAAGGAAGTTTATATTGAACATCTGATTAGCAGAAATACACGGATAGAATAGAAAAAAAAACGAATGCATACCTGAAATATAATAAAACAAAACGAGTTAAATAAAATAAAATAACAAATAAATAAATTTAAAAAAAAAAGACTAAACGAATATTTAGTATAGATCATTCCATTTATAACATAATTGCCTTGTGTCTCTTTTCTAGCTTTATGCTTGTTTTAATGATATTATAAATATTACATAGTAATATAATATTCATAGTTACTAAACTTAAGAGAAATTAAATTTTACTAAACCTTCATTAGTTTCAGCGTTGTATCAAGTAAAAGAATATAAGCTATAGAATTTTAAAATATGAATGAAAGTAATTTTCTCCTTCTTTTTGGAACTATGATTTTTATTTTATGAACAAAAAGAAAGCTCTCCATTTTAAGTCTCTTCCATTAATCATAATTACGTTTTTTCTATATATATAATCAAGTAAATAGTAAGTAAGGAAAGTAAATTTGTTATAGTTCAAACCCTTGCATTTGCATATATTGGCGACTTTTATAATTTTTTACTTTCCTACCTATACTTGGTAAGGAAAGTATTAAAAGTATGTGCCAAGATTTTCTCGGGAAATCCTGAACTGATTTTGTTGCTTCTTTTTTTATTTTGTAGTGTTTTGACTGCTAAACACATCCGAATTTATTTTCGACGGATCTATACTTTTCAGAACCCCCAGAAAAACAGCCCTTCAGCCTGTAGGGTTTTGACTACTAATGTCTGTGACACGAATTGGGTGCTCCATGCCAAGTAGTGGCTGCGCAATAAATGAAAAACATAATTTCTATAGACCCAAAAAACGGCTCTAACGATTATGATGAACTTTTCCTATAATGTTCTAATAATTGTCCTTTCAATTTTCTTACATGGACTAAATTCCCGAAAAAAAAAGGAAAAAAAGTTATAAAGAAAAGAAAAATGTTTTGGAGCCTAACTGGCTAAGTATATATTCTATGGTAAAATTTATAATAAAACTTTTGAAAGGTAATTAAATTACCAACAAAACAAAAAAAAAATCATCGGAATCGAACCAGTATTAGCGATGATACAGCTTATTCTATTTTTTACACATTTTTTAACTTATTACTTTCCTACCTACTAGGTAAGGAAAGTATTGCGATCGGGTCAAATTTCCAATATGCGGTTTTCGACGGATCTATACGTTTCAGAGCCCCCGGCCTTTTCTCTACAAAACTATATAAAAATCGTTCGTTTCGGACAACTATTAACGAAGTTACATCTATTCAATTTCTTATATAAGATTACGAGTACATATCCTGGTGCCAGAAAGGTATGAATGAAAGAAAAAAGATTACTTAGTGAAAGTAAGAAAATCTGTTGCCTGTATCACACAAGCTTCACTATTACCTCTCCTTTTAAACAGAAATTATTGTTTGACAAAATTAGGCTATGGCAAGAAGTTTTTAGAATCAGCAATATTAGAGGGTATTGAAATTTTTACACTGATATACCTTAATCCGGTTGACGTAGCTTTAGTTTATCAAATAAATCGTAATCAAATCTTTTCTTTGATCTATTTTCAGGAAAATAAATCTAATTCATTTTTTTTTTTTTTTTTGTTTCTTGATGGACATACGTAAAGATATAAAAACTTTTCTGGAATAGGTAGGAAAGTCGTGTGAGTGGACACAGTAGTTTTTTTTTTTTCTAGTGGGGGTTTCACTAGCTATCTTCAGGTTATAAGGTTGCCAGGCGCGAATAATGCAAATAACTTATTTGACTCATTTTTTTTTTATTTGACTTAGAACATAACAAAAACAACTAAAATATAATTAATGATATATAACAATTCGAGAATGCCAATGATCACGTTTCAAAACACTCCTGTGTGTCGTCTTTTTCTTTTTTTTTTTTATTTTTATCCTTTTCGCTGCCTTTTAGACTAACTGTGTTTTTTTTTCCGGACCAGAGGATAGATTGGAGGCATTAATGCTAGAATTAAAAGTACCTCCAGCACCAGGATTTGAACTCGTACTCTTCGGTTTATCTTTTTGCCAGGCAACCTCGGCTAACCATCCCGCTAAAAACACTCGGCCTTCCAAGCCTAAAATAAAATAATATACAACTATTGAAGCAACTAAACAGTGAAGAATGACAGTGACCCATTGCAAACCGCCCCCGGTACCGCAGTGCCGCCCCTCCCCCATGACTGACAGAGGACTGAGGTGGGATGATTTAGCCTGGGAACTGGAGCCCCAATTTCACGGCCACTTGACCGCTCTCCGCTCAATTTCATGGTGTCCCTCCTTGAGCAATTATAGCTCCGTCTTAAAAATCACAAAGAGATCTGCGCAGTCGGCGATAGATGTTCAGGTAGTCCATGTCCTCTATATAGTTCATTTTTTTTTAAACTTTAGAATAAGTTCCAATTCTGAAAGATTGACATGAAAAATAAATGTGGCTAAAAGTGGAGCATGATAAGAGAGGAAGACACCTCTAGAAACAAAAAAACCCGACATACGATGGGACTGCTACAGATAAGAAGGTAGACCATTTTCAATATCTTGCACAGAGGTATCCAGAAGGATCATGCATGACTGAAGAAGCGACATTAATTTTTTTTTTTTTGAGAACCAAATTTTTGTAGCTTTTCAATTAGGTGGACCATTCAAAAAAGAGTCCAAGGAAAAACACTTACAACATAAATAGAAAGTGTAATTGTGAATAACTCTATCGAAGAAAAGAACTACTATTCATTAAAGCGGTAGTCACTAGTTGCTCTGGGCCAAATAGAGATAGAAAATAAACTTTATTCTGGGACGATTTCCTCTCAGAATAACAATAATGAACAGTTTCAAAAGAAAAACTACATGTCTGACCAAAAACTAACTTAATAAAGGTTTAAACAATACATACAACAACTTAAATCATAGTATGTAAACAACTACAAATAAAATAAAATCTTCTCAACCATACTTATAATTGTACTGGAAAAAATAACAAAAAAAAAAGAAGAATTACATGTATAGAAAGAAAACGCAAAACCTCCAGAAAAGAAAAAAATATCAAAAGTACGTAAATAAAAAGTATTGACTTTTTATGTTAAAACGTAAACAGTTAGAACATACAAAATATATACATAGATTAAAGGTATATTAGTGACAGAAGATGAGCAACGGGATCGCAATATTCCATTGCATAAGAGATATAAAATAAGAAAAAATAGATAAATACTATTAGATAGGAGCATTAAATTAATTTTTTGAATAAACAACTGCGACAAAAAAAAGAAAGAAGAAAACTAACTAAAAGAAGATAGCTTATTTATATATATTATATAATACACAATAGTATTGTAAACTATAAACAAACACGTAGATTAAGATAGGAAAAGATATATATGTATATTAATTGAGGAATGTGAAAAATGAAATACATCTAAAATATACACACTCTTATAGATGGAAAAAAAATTGATAATTATTTTGTATGCATCACATCACAGTGCTATGCCAAAAGTGATACTGCATCTATTACTGAGTCTTTCCTATTCATAAATAATAAATAAAAAATATATTAAACTAATGGAGTATGAAAACAAAAAGAAATGAATTTGTTACATAACACATACTTAACCAGCGTCTGTTTGGATTGTGAAGAAGAATTGGAATAAGAGGGTTTTGAATGTGGATAAGGATGGTGCATGGCGGATTTTAAGTGACATGGAATTCCAAAAGGTGGTGGAGTGGACAATGAAGGAATGTTGAAATGAATCTGATCTATAGAAAAGGAGTGTAAAGGACAGAAGGACGAGATCTTGTGAAGAGGGAGTGGATAGATGATTTAAATTGGAAGAGGTAATAAGATAGTAAGGGTATGTACACACCACTACAGAGATCTGATCTTACCACTACTATGTTTTGCTTACTGGTGCTTAAAAACTAGAAAACTATCAATGAAAAATGATCTGTTCACTAATGGTTCTGAAGAAGAGCTTCTAAACCTTCCACTAACCACAAAAACATTTAAAAAATAGCCTAACTGGTGAGTTAACTCCGATACAGCTGTACAGCACAGAGGCGGCACATTTAGACGAGATTATGAATTTTCGGATTGATGATTTTTTTTGTGTGGATTTGCTATTAGGAGGAACTTTTAAACCAGCAGACAAGGGTAAAATGTTTAAAAAAACTGAATAAGCGTAATTGAAGAATAAGAGAGCAATACAATTTCTTGGGAGGGTGGATTTATATGTAACATTGCCCTTGTAGGGCTGAGAGTCCCTTGCACAACTTTTGTATTGTTCGTTATTTTTATACATATATACTGTACATCAGAAAATTAGAAAAACAATAATTACTTCACTTGCATATGACACCTATTTTAGCATCCTATAGATAATTTGTTTTATATTCATAGCAAAAATACTTTTTTATGATTGATAATAGACCTAAGAAATCACTCAAAACAGAAGAAACAAAACAACTTGGATTTTCGTTAAAAAGTTTTTATCAACACAACAGAATTGACACGATGATACGTTGTGAACATTCACTAAAGAAGGCCAAAAAAATGTCTTTACAAAACTATTAGTTAACTAATGTAGAACCCGAAAAGTCAGAACTAATCGATTTCTGTGCAGCAGTCATACACATGTTAATTTACTAATGAATTAAATGAAATTTAACAGTACTAAATGTAAAATAAATTTCTTAAATATATCCAATCATCCTCAGTGCTATGTTATCAGTATTCCTTTTTTTTTTTTTTTTTTTATGTCGCCATTGAAAATTTGGAGAGGAATTCACGACTGCAAAAATAACAGAAGAAATAACTAAGAAAAAACACACCATAAATATGTATTGCTTGTTACCTATCGGTTTTTATATCATAATCAAATGTGTTAAGTTAACGGGAAAGAAAACGCCCTAATAAAATTTCATATAAAATAGTAAATTTCGATGCAATTGTATCGAATGAATTGCGGAAAGAGTAGAGGTACAATTAAAATAGAGGAGTTAACAGTGATGTAAATAATAATAAAAAAACTAAGGTGTGTGCCTTAGACCACACGATAGAAGTAAACATCAACAAGGCGAGATTAATAATATGAAATATAAATTATAAATAATAGATCATTATAAAGAGAATGAAATGCTGAACAATTTCCTCCTTTATAGTATGGAGGTCCGATTTTTAGATATTTTAATAAATATTATCATTAAAGCTCGTTATCATTTGGTTTTCGACACCATTTTCGCCTCTTTAACAAGGTTTCGCGTTAAGATACGGTTTTGAATAATAGCTCATTACCAAGAGGATGGAATGATGAGCATTTCCCTCGCCAACCATATGCAGGTCCGAATTTTTGTTTTTGAGACATTTTAGTCCCTTTGCAAAAACACTTCAATTAGTCAACTCCAGCAGACTTTACCCTAGCGTTACACATCGGAGATCTTATGGCTCAATCTAATTCACACTCCATAAAAAATTCGAAAAAATAACAGTTGCTAAATAATGATTTATTATGTCAACAATGATTAGAATAAAAAATAATTTTGGGAATGAGAGTCCGTCAAGCAAATTGAAAGATATTAAAAAAACAATGAACGGTCAACATCAAATAGCTCCTATCCGCAGAGAAGAGATTGTCTTTAACCTGACTGAGAATAGGTCACACCAATCTGGCTCATTCCTATCTGACTAGCAAACAGCCATCACCAAAATTCCAACACTATGACAATACAACAATATATCAAACATTCTAAAATGTGACGAGGACACAATAATGTTACATTTCCTGAAATTAAACGAATTGTTAAATAAGATCTAAAAGCTTTTAAAAATTTAATTTAGATGCAGATAATTTAAAAAAATATATAGTTGAAGAAAGCGAGTCATGGGTAATAAATTTTAATTTTTATTTGTGCCAACGGTTGAACTCAAACATGTGTGTCATCTTCAGGCGTGGTTGGAGCACTGAGGGTGATCAAGTACTCGCGTACTCAAGTACTTGAACACCCTCAGTGCTCCAGTATAATCACCCAAAAAATATATAAAATTAAATACAGGCGTTGATGACCTCGAAATTTTACTCCTTAAAGGCCTAACAAACAATAACAATTTATTTTCATAAGAGGTCATGACCGTACTCCAGATATGAACCTGAAGGTGATATAACATTTTCTGAAAGCTTTGGAAACTCTCAACTACCAGGATTCTCCACTCCAAGACACTTGTTCTACAGGTTAACCTGCCCATGTCAATGGTCAATGGTGTTGGAGTCACATCCTTTCTTCCGAAGAGCTATTAAATCATCTGCAGGTCTTCAACATCTCCTTCCATAGATCATTTCGTGCTAAAAGCAAGGGATTTTCCCATGCAGCATCAGACCAGGTGTCGCCTCTGTCTAGACACCTCCACCTTGAATGGGACCTTAAGAAAAAGGAGCAGAATGGAAGAGATAAGAAAAAATACTGAAGATGAGTATAAGCTCCCACGGTGACCGCTTCCAAGCGATTTAACGGGGCGCGCCTCCAGGTAGGGCGGAGCCTTTGATCTCTCCGATGGCTCACTGCTACTAACTCATATTTACATATGTTTCGGTAATTCCGTCGTTGACTAATTTCACACACGTTCCTCTGGACCACCACCGAAATCGTGTCACATATACTCCATGATTTATTTTTTTGGACTTCAGGCTAAAAATTACCAAAAGAAAAAAATTCCATACATTATGAACTTATTTTAACGATCTGTATCTTTTTTTACACTATGTCTTCCCTGTACAAAATGAGGTTGATCCCTTTTCTGAATATTATAGGGTAGGGAGTTTTCCTCCTAAGAGAATGGATTGAAATTGTGCTGGAAACAATTATGAAAAAAAATGTATACGGTCACTATTAGAAATCTTACAGAAAATAAAGACGGATAATGGACTAAATTAAACGGAGAAATAATACTTATTCTAATTGCAAAATTACACCTTCCCACCTTCTTTCCAAACGTAACTATTTACGAAAACTAACTACTGATGCTAAATGAAGAGGCTTGTATAGAGAGAATAATAATAATTTTTTTGTGGTTTTTGAAAATGAAGTATTGGATTTAACATTTCGAACCAGACTATTTTGATGGCTAAAAATGTTTGCGTAAAGTGGCTTACGGTAAATATTATTGCATTATTAACAATGCTGTGACGAATAAAATATGAAATGGGCACATAAAGTTCCCGAGATGGATAACCAAAATATTAATAAAATGATAATCAGACGGGAAGTATCGTAGGGGTTCACCGGAAGGTAGACAGGAGGATTGTGTTCGATGCTAGGAATTGGGTCTCCTCCTAAAAAAATACAATGGAGAGAGTTTGTAAACAATGGCTGCTACAGTTTTTTAGAACTTCTTTATTGGGAAATATTACAATCTGTCTCAAAGACAATTTATAATAGTATTTAGAGATCACATTCACACTGAATGTACAATTAATAAACCTATATACACTATTTACCTATATACCTCTATAACTAATCAGTCGAGGAAACTCCGAGCCCAGACTTGTCCCTCAAACTATGGATAGAAAATCAGGACTCCAGGAGATCGCTGCACTACTCTCTCAACCGCGTCATTAGTGCTAAAACCAGCGTAGATTGTGAGCGAGAGCGCTTTAGCCAAATACACTCATGTGGTGAGTGGAGAATCTGGCCATTGCCAGAACTCCAATATATACAAACTATAAAAGGTCGCGGGACTGCTGCCGTTTAACCTTCTTGGAGGATTATAGGGACGAGTGGTGCTTGTTAGAGATTGAGCAAGAGGGTTAGGATGATACGTAAGTTGCTGCTGAAATTGGGTGATTTTTTCTGGGATAAGATCTTGGACAAGCGGGATGTTGAGGTCATGATGTAGGGTTTTGTTGGTTACATTCAAAGGAGCATCGACTATTGTTCGAAGGACTTTGGACTGAAAGGATTGGATGGGTTTGATGTTAGAAAATTTTGCTGTACCCCAAAGTTATAGTCCGTGGGTCCAAATAGTTTTCAGGATTCTCTTGTATATCAGTAATTTGCCTTCAGTATAAAGTTTAGATTTTCTATTCAGTAGTCTGTACAGTTGGCCGTATCGTCGGTTATGTTCTTGTCTTTTGAGTCTAGTGTGTGGGTTCCAAGCTAGTCTTCGGTGGAGTAATGCGAGGTAAAGGAGATAAATACATCGATATAGATTGAAATAACTTTTTTCCACCTCAAACAATTATTTCTTTTTTTTTTAATTTACTGTGCGATATTTAGTTCGATTGATACATATTTATATCATTGTGAATGAAGCTGCAAAGGCTGCACAGTAGCAGACGACACTACCCTATCCAGTACAGAAATAGTCGATGGGACAGACAAGGATATTCTGCTGTACTAATTGAGCCGAAGTATTTGGCGCGGCATCCAACGAGGAGGAAGCACTGGCTGGCCTGCAGCCAACCTTGATCAATTGATCAGCGCCGATTGATCTCGAAGCGATGGATCATGCCCTCACTGCTCAAAGCGACAATTAGTTAAATAACATTAACTAATTAACTAACACAATTAGTTCAATAATTGACGGTTCGTCATTAGGCATGGGCTAATTTTTGTCTGGCTTCTGCGGACGTCTTTGATCTCGTGAGACTAGGCCGAGTGTCTCGAAAGCAATTTCAAACTGACTCCAGAGCGTTGTTATTCTGATAATTAGATGGCCTGGCTGAGGACGATTTATTTGTAGTAAATAATTTTAAACTAGCAAATTAAGCGATTTATATTAAGTTTCTTAGATATCCTTTATCCATTTTTTTTCTCTCTTACTAAATATTCTCGATTAAGATTGTTCAATGTGTTCAATATAGTTGAGTAGCAGTACAGTTTTATTGTATTTCTCTCTCGAGAAATTACATGATATTACGTAATATATCCGACTATGAATACATAGATTAGAAAGTAGTATGACACTTAAATAAAGGAGAGAAGGGGCACTGTATCAGTGAGAAAATTCACATATTCAACCAGAAATTTTCGGATAAATATTTACAAATTTATATATTTTACATTTTTAAATTAAAAAAATTCTTTAGGCGCGTTTTGCATTTTTTTTTTTTTGTGGAGAGTGAATTAGATTGAACCGTCAGATCTCCGATGTATAACGCCCGAGTAAATTCGGCTAGAGCGACTACTTAAATTGTTTTTACATATGGATTAAAATATCTCGAAAACTAAAAATCGGGCCTGCATATTGTTAGCGAGGGAAATTTTCATCATTTCATCCTTTTATTAATAGGATATTATTCAAAATTGTATTTTAATGCGATGATAACGAGTTTTATTGAAGATATAGATTAAAATATCTGGGAAACTAAAAATCGGACCTGCATACTGTAAGCGAGGGAATTGTTCAGCTTTTCATCCTCTCTGTAATAGGCTATTATTTATAATTCATATTTCATAATACTAATTTTGCCTTGTTTGTTTTGTTAACCTGTTTTTTTGCTAATTGTTGCCTTGTTTGTTAACACACACCTTAGTTTTTTTTTTTTTATTATTTACATCAATGTTTACTGCTCTATTCTAATTGTACCACAACTATTCGCATTTCATTCGATATAATTGCATCTAGAAAATCATTCTTGAATTCAACTCCTGGTAAAATGATAATGTTGTTGATAATGGCAAAATGATTGAAAATGTTTCCATACGATTGCTTTTAAGTAGTAATTTTGCCTTTCTAAGTACCTGAAGAAGGTGTGATGTATTTAAATCCTCAAACTCAGGGTTCCTTATATCCAAGAAAGTTGTATTTTTGGGAAACATTCTTGCTTTTTTTTATCGTGTTCTATTTTTAAGTATTCCGTGTGATGCTAAACTGCTGAATCATTTCCCTAAAACTTAAGAGTGGCAACCTACAGCAATTTTTGAAATATCCATCAGAATATCATAATAATTATTTTAAAAAATAAATTTATATAACAAACTCTCCAGTAGTTTCAGAGGTGAAAAGGAAACAGTGTTGAAAACCAAATGATGACCAGTTTTATGGAAGATATGGATTAAAATATCTCAGAAACTAAAAATCGGATCTACATACTGTAAGCGAGGGAAATATTCATTATTTCATCCTCTTTATAATGAGATATCATATATAATTTATATTTCATATTATTAATCTCGCCTTGTTGATGTTTTCACTTCCATCTTGTGGTCTAAAACACACTCCATAGTTTTATTTCTTTGGGATTCTTCAATAACATGGATTAGATCACATCACCACAACCTAAACAAGCTATAAGTGTTTTCCCATCTATTCACGGCTGTTTCTTCTTGATACCATTCCCTGCTATACTTGCATCCACTTCATCTTTGCATCTCATTCTTGGTCTTGGTCGGTCTTGGTCTTGGTTTTATCTTCTTCCTTCCTCTTCTCATTTTATAACCAACAAAGCCCAGGTCCATACGTTGCTGTAAATATAGAGTTTAGAGCCGGTTTGTTATTTGCAAAATGTAAATTATTTCTTCATGATCAAAGTTCAAATTCAAGACTCAATTGGTCATTCACCTAGTTATCCCAAGCAGCCAATTTATCAGGTTTGGGAGAAGTCTACAGATGGAAATTATTTCATTTTTTGTGGTATAGTCCACTGCTACTAAAAAATAGTAATCCAAACTAAAATTTTACTAATTAGATTTTCTAATTGTTCTTAAAGTTTCATTGGATATTGTACCAAAACCGTAGGTCCATGCTTCCTGTTAATAGGAACCGTACGTCAAATTCTAATCAGAATAAAGTCAATTTTCGTAGAATCAAACATAGAATTGTAATAACACCAAATTTAAAAATTAAATAATCTCGTAATTTTTTCTTGTTAGTTGAGTTAAATTTAATAATCTGTAACTTTTTAAACTTTTTTTTTCCTCATTATCGAACGTAGAGAAGCTTTTTATTCGTGCGGGGGGTTAAAAAAAATTATGTACTCAGAATCAAAATTTTCCCTCGCGTTTTCCGTTTCAGACATCAAGGATCAATTTTGATTCGACATCTGTCTGAAATCAAATCAATGTGACGGGCATATCACATACTACCGTTTATTCGATTTTCATTAAATTTTCAGAAAATGTGTGGACTGGTGTCTAGATTGTCCTATATCAATTTCATCAAATTCCATCCGACATTTCGGCTACGCACGCGCAAATGTATTTCCTTAGTTATGCCAATATTTCAGAAGGCTCGTTCGATTTGACTATAAGTTTGAGGAAAGATAGGTCTAGGTAAAAAAATAATGCTGTATCAATTTTATTAAATTCTGTCTACTTCGTCTGTCTAACATATTTTTCGTGATGGGCCTATATCATAAAAACCGAAAGTTCGATTGGCTCAAAGCTGGAGGGAAGTTAAACAAATGATCAAGTAGATATCCATTTCTGAAAATTCCATCCCCTACTTTCAGAAAATACTTCCGCTTT